TATAAAGATATTTATTGCCAATCAATTTACTATCTAGTTCTACTCTTCTTTTAATCATATAATAAATAACATTTGATCCTATTAAATTCGATTCAAATTGTGTAAGCTTTGAAATTAGATCTTCATCGGCATCAGCTACAGATGACGACGACGACGATATTTGAGATGCGTCATTTAGTATTGTTGTGACTTCACAATTTACTAGATTTGTTGTATCCATTTTTTAGTTTAGAATAGTATTTAAAATAATGCAATAATATTTTATTATTATTATTATTATTATTATTATTATTATTATTATTATTATTATTATTATTATTATTGTATGTATATATACATAAATAATACAAAAAAACAATAATTATATCAATCATTATATTAATAATTAATTATATTATAACCATAATATCAATCATTCATTGCATCAATAATTATATTATAGTCGTATAAAAATTTTACTTACGTATTGACATTGTTTTTAAGTTTTTGGAAACAAAAAAAAATAAGATTTAGAAAATATAATTTTTAGAGTGCACAAAAACTCTTAAATAGTTAATATGAATAGCATGCCATTACGTTTTGTTGTTCCCCTTCCTGCAATTTCTTCTAATATTGGTTAATACTAATTAGCCTATGAGATATTTAATAATCGATCATTTGTAACCATCACCATACCAATCTATTTTCATTATGTGATTATAAATAAATATTAATGAATATTTAAAAATAAATAAAGCAAACATATGAAATACACACAGTTATGAATCACACGCCCTTTAATATCCAATGTAATTCTTTTATTGATTTGTTTACTGAATTCCTTTATTGGTATTGCTTCTCCTGCTATCAAATATAAATACCAATAAATATATATTGATAGTTTGATGACTAGTGTATTAGTGATTCCATATAAATAGATAAATGGAACAAAGTGAAGTTAGTAAGGATTGAGAATATTAATGGTAACGGATAACAAATAAATAAAAAATAATAACAGTAGGGATTAATCGATGATAAAAATTGATTGTTAGATATTTTCTAAAATATTCATTTCTGCTTTATTAATTAGCTAGAATGATGTATGTAGTTAGAGTTATTGAAATTATTGAATGTTAAAATATTTTTATTTTCATCAACATTTATTATCATTGCCGAAGTAATTGATTTTTCAATCTTGACATTCTGACAATTTTTGTTTTACCTATTTTATTTGCATGTCGTCTGTTTGTATATCCTATCTATCCGCATATAATTTCGCTGGCAGTCAGATTGTTAGGTCAAAGATGGTTGAATATTTTAGATATAAAAATTTGGAAATCAAAAGCTTGACTTTTGTATTTGATTAAAACTGTAAAATTTATTGATGATGTTTTTGTAATAATTAAATTTACCAGTGGAAAGATGATATCATGACCAACGAAGTCATAACCTACGCTTTAAACAAAAGAAAAGAAATACACATGTTAAGTTCATCAAAAGTTAAAAATATGTGTGATAGCTGGCTACAAAAAAAAACCCAAAAGTCAATCAACTTAAATAAATTAGCGTAAATAAAATCGATGTTAAAACATACAAGTCTTCGTGCCTAAATATGGTGTATAGTTTGTTGGTTGTAGTTGCCCTAAATTTGTTTTATTAGATTTCCTAAATTTTGGTATTACTACCGCCATTACAAAAAGGCTGCACAACTTATAAGCTACTAAATGGACTTTTTTGAAATCTTTAGTGTTGGTATATGCTTGCAATATTTACCTATTTATAATATAACATTTTTTTGATATATTCAAATTTGAAAAGTTAATTGTTCGTGTGAAAAAAAATAAGCGGAAGGAAAAATTTATAACCTTTGATTAGAAATTTATAATAAATATATACTTTATTACACATAATAACTCCACGTTTGCTTTTTTTTTAATACGATAGTACAATACAATAAAAAAGAGCGATCGATTATATTGACAATAATTTTTTTAGAAATCACCTATAACCGACAGTCATGACTTACCAGTTGAAAGATAACAATATCCCTCCCTATTTAGAAGGGCTTTTAAGTTTCAAATAATGACTATTTTGAGAATAGATAATTAATTGTAGACTATTATTAGATCACGTTAATTTACAGAAGAATTTTTAAAGAAAGAATAAAAGGCCTTTTTTTAATACGTTACAATTATAATTTTTTTCTTACAAATATATTTGTTCAGTTTTCCGGGCCGGGCCCTGCATTTTTCCCAGGAATTTTTTCCATCACGTAATTAGTAATTTTGACAATTTGGAATTTTTAATTTAAAAAATTTTGTCAATTCTAAATGACGTATTGTAAGAAAAAACTAAAAATGGCATATGTTATGACAAGAATCAATACTCAACAGCTACATTCCTGTTTCTGTTCCTGATCAAAAGTTTGGACTAGGAAGGAAAAAAGCATTTCTAAATTTAATTAATACTAATCAATAATAATAACAACAATGATGCATAATCAACCAAAATCACTGCATAATTGATAATCATCACATGATGATCAACGTCAGTATTTGACAAAATAAAATGTAAAAACAAAAAAAAAAAAAAGAAATAACTAATATATACAACATTTCAGAAGTATTTAGAACAGACAGATAATGGGACAATCAATCATTACAAAGTGAAGCTCAAAAAAAATCCAAAGGAATTTAATTTTTTATTACTCAGCACATGTATTTACGCCCATTGATACAATGCTAACCAATCTGAAAATTAGCTGATGATATTTTCTAACATTAGACTAGATTTATGGCGGGCGCAGTCAAAATATTTTTCTTTTTTTATTATATATTAGTCGTGGGACATTGCAGATCAAATGTCATTCTAATATAAACGTTACACAAATAAAATTATTATATATATATATCGTCCACTTCAAAAAAATTCTCCGTTTTTCATATGGCAAGCGGTTTTCAACCATAATAAAATTTTTAGAGCCAGACTAGAACTTTCTAACGACAGTCAAAAGAAAAGGTTAGCTTAAATATTGGTTATTCTACACTAGGTCAGAAGCGTTTCTTTTCTTCATACTTATTTTAAGATTTTCTTCCAACTAGTATGCAGACTAAAACAAATTCAGCGGCAACAATTGTGTCAAAGTGTTCCCTACAAAGTCATTTGAAAGGCTGTGTTAGAAAAATTTTGACTTTAATTATAAGAGACTGATTTATAGGTTATTGATTTATTATAATATTAATTGATGAAATGAAACTATCATAGCAACACTATGCTTATTATTAATATTACCTATTGATATATAAAATTGTTACACGATATCTAGATCTTATATACATCGGAATTAATGAGAGTGAATATAACAAACAAACCTTGGTTTTTACAAGTATAATCTATGCTTATTATTAATATTATCTATTAATATATTGTTACACGATTATCTAGATCTTATATACATCGGAATTAATTAGAGTGAATATGACAAACAAACCTGGTTTTTACAAGTATAATTTATGCTTATTATTAATATTATCTATTAATATAATGTTACGCGATTATCTAGATCTTATATACATCGGAATTAATGAGAGTGAATATAACAAACAAACCTTGGTTTTTACAAGTATAATCTATGCTT